AACGACTGCTTTGTCAAGATCCCCCGCGAACCTGGCCATCCCGGCAAGGGCAACTACTGGACACTGGACCCGGCCGCAGAGGATATGTTTGACAACGGGAGCTTCCTGCGACGGAGGAAGCGCTTCAAGCGCACCGACATCACCACCTACCCTGGCTACATGCAAAACTCCAGCGCCTTCACGCCCCCACCCGCTGGCCGCCCCACGGCACCAACAGCACCCTACCCCAACACGCTCTGCTCACCTGGCTACAGCTCCCAGCTCTCCAGCACTGTCTTCCACAGGAGCAGCGCCACCGGCACAGCATCACAGGATGTTCAGCATTGACAGCCTCATCAGCGGGCAGCAGGCCCTGCAGCCCTCGCCACCCACTGAGCTGGGCCACCCATCACTGGGCTTGCCCGGGGCCGAGCTAGCTCCCACCTGCTCTGCCAGCAGCTCTGATCCTCCCTGCTTCCAGGCGCAGCCTGTCAGCCCCAGCTTGTTGGGCCGGGCTGGCCCCAACACCCTGGCTTACCCCTACACTGCCTCGCCCCCGCACCTGCCCGTGGCACAGGGCAGCTACTCACCCAGCAGCCCGCAGCTCTATGGGGCTCCCAACAGACTGGCCTTGCCGGCCATGCGGCCCCCGGCCTGCGCAGAGCACAGTGAGCAGCTCCTGGGTCTCTCTGCATCGCCCCTCGGCCAGTTCGGCTCCAGCAATGCCTACATGAGGCAGCCCAATTTCCCCGCCGGCCTGGAGCGGTACATGTGATGGGGTGTGGGGGGGTGGTGTTTGGCTGGACATCCCCAGACTCTTATGAGCATCTCTGGAAACACAGACTTCTCCCTGCTTTGGGGATTGGCTGGGGTGGAGTCAGGGTCCCTGGCCTCTGCCTGTGTGTGGACACACACCTGCAGGGGGACCTAACTCCTCTCTTTCTCAACTTATTTTTATGTGGAGGCAAGGTGATCTATTTTTCTGCCCCATCACCTGCTGGAAAAGGTCCTCTCTGGCTACATCTGCCAGGCTGGGCTCCCCACACCCCAGGGAGTGTCCCTTCTGCACAGTTCCACCCTGGGGATGCTGTCTGCAGAAGGGCACCCTGGGGCACCCACGGGGTGAGGAGGAGCACAGCCAGGAGGTGGGTGCATGGTGTAACCTACAGGAACTATCTCACAAATGGGCTTTCTCCTCTCTTCACTGGGTGACTCCTGTATAACTGGAGTGAAAGTTATAAAAAAAAAAAAAAAACACTAAAGCAACTCACTGGATTTAAAATGAATATTTAAGATGGTTATAATTTCCTTCCCCTGTAGGAAAAAAAAAACAACAAACCACCCTGAATACTTCTTTTTACTATTTTTAAAAATAACTTTTATTGTTAGAAAAGACTTTTTTAAAATAAAGCTTTTCCTTCCAACATGTCCAGTGCTGCTGTTCCTCTGGCTCTGGCCAGACCTTGGTGAGAGGAAATTATCAGAGTTGTAACTGGTGGGAGACAGACTTGTGCTACTGTTGAGACACTACCATGTCTTACATTTTTAGTGACACTTTCTAAAACTGTCTATTTTATTATGATTTTCTAAAAAGCAAATGGTAACTAACCACTGCTGAGCCATACAAGGGCTGCAATTCTCTCACCTGCAAGGCTTGCCCACGCAGCTCTTACTGGACTCTGTTTGCATAGCAGGGAATGTGTCTTCCCTCCAAGGAATCCCTTGCAGGTGAAATTCTGATTTGCCACACCAAATCAGGAGATCATAGCTTTCCTTCCTAGCAACAAAATTGATTCAAATTTCAACCTGTTCAATGGCCGGGCTGCTGCTCTTTATTTACAGGACTGCCAGACAGACCATCGCTCCAGGTTTGTAGGCAGAATTCCCCAACCACAGGTTTAGCTTCTTTTGATTTAAATATCCTCCAGGTAAAAGTGACAGGCTAGGATTTCTCTCCTATTTTTCAAGGGTATCCTCTGAAGCAGAGCAGTTTCTCTTAGTCCCCATTGCACCTTCCTCCTGCTTAAGGAGGAGTTGGATGTCAGTTGAGCTTTGGTGCAAAACTGAACATCTCATTCCCCGGCTGCTGGTCGTGCCTGAAAGCTGGGTGTACAGGTGGGTACTCGAGGAGTCAGCTTTTGCCCACAGCTTGGGAGCTTGTGGCTTTTCATTCTTTTATCCTATGTGCTCTGTAGAAACAGAATGGAGTTAGTATGAGAGGGGAGGGAAGAAAATGGTTTTTTACTCTTGGCCTCCTTAAAATTGGGGCTTCATCTGTCTCTAAAAACTGGCTTAGCTCTGGTCTACTGCCTTTGACTGAGCTTCTGGGCTCTGGGTCTCCTCTCTGGTCCCTCCAGCTTCACCTTTTCAGCTTTCACACTGGCTCCAGCAGCAGCTTCTGTGCTTTTCCCTCAGTGAGAGCCCTGCTCAGAAAGGGTGTCGTGAAAAAACTTATCCGCTAAAATACTTCGGCTCTCTACAGAAGATATCTATAGACAGAGATCTTCTATCTAATGAAAGTTTGCAAAGTGCCATTCCTGTCTGTAATGTACTGTCTGTATAGATGGACTGGGGCAATGCTGAAATAATTGCTTTCAAGGACAGTCAGTAGAAAGGACACTTGACATAGCTCACGTTCATTCCTAGGGCCTGATCCTGCAATGTTTTGCAAAGAAAAAGCACTTTTGAAGTCTTGCCTAAGTATCCAGGGTGTCAGAGCCAGACACATGCATGAAGCGCTGGGTCTGTTGGCTTCCCTCCAGCATCACTGGGCACCGGGCTGGGACTCTGCTGGGTTTGCACTGTGAGCAGGAGGGTTGCTAAAGTAGGGGAGAACAAAGTACCAGCATGAAAGAAAAACAGTGTTGGGTAGAGGGTGTGGGCAGGGGATGCTGCGATTCTGCCTGGGTGACCAAACTGAGACACCCCAAACTGGGCTGAGCCTACTCCTCCCCAGTCACCCTGGAGCCCTGCAGAAGTGGGGAGCTGGTGTTGAAAAGGGCTTTCCAAGTTCCTGGCATCTCTGGGTGTTAACTCAAGTGCTGGTGGAGCCAGGGGGGCTCAGGGTGCCTGAAGGGCAGGGCCCTGGCTTGCTCCTGTCCCCCAGTTGCCTGCACCCTCCTGCCATGGGGCTCTTTCGAGAGCAGCACCCAGCTCCCTCTCTGTGGGAGACCTTTCCCACCCCTGTGCCTGTGCAAGAGGGATCTCTTTAGCCAAGGAGGCTCTGAGTGGGATGCAAAGTCACTGCAGTGGACTGAATCCCTGAAAACTTGGCTGGGAGAGAGTGGACAAGCCCATCACACAGTGTTTGGACAAACCTGGTGTGCAGTGTTGAGTTGCACATCTTCCCAGGGCCCTGTATCTGCCCATCTGTCAGACAGCCCCATCCCAGAGCCCCCTGCAAGTGGCAATAAACCACCCTCACCATGGACCTTACACTGCCAAATGAACTGGAAAGCACAGGGAACAGACCCCTTTTGTTCTTTTTCCTGTAGATACTAATCCTCATATGCACAAACCTCTGGCAGCTTGTATTGCGATTGTCATTAAACTAATGCCTTAAAAGTGTCTTCTTGGTTAACTTAATGTATCCCAACCAGGCTTTTAAGCTTTCATTTCAAAGCTTTGTTTACAGTTAGGGTGAATCTAGCAAATGAGTAGGATTAAAGTGTCATGTAAAGCATAAGCCTTGCTGGGACAGAGTAGTTTTAAGCTTTGTAAAGTTTATACCTGGGCCCTTCACCTATTTTAGTGTCTTTTCGATGCCCCTGTTGGTGAATAAGAGGGATTTGAATGAAACAGGAGTAATTATCACGCAGATTTCAGTTGTGAAACCAAGTCTCCTTTGAAATCCTCCCCTCTTTATTTAGGGAGTTTAGGGAATATTAAGTAATGGCAGTCATAGCTATCTTGTTCTTGCTCACACAAAAGCCAGAGGCAAAACCTTCTTTGCTCTCTGAGATTGTGGAACGAACATCATCCTTCAGGGTGATGGCAAGAGGTCCTCTGGACATTCTGTGGTGGGGAGAGCCCCGTCTCAAGCCCGTGAGACACAGAGCAGGGGTTGAAGTTGTCCCTGAGCACTGAAGAGATTCGGGTGGTGATCTGGGCTACTGCTGAGACAGTCTGACTTCTCAGGGAATGGCCCTTTGCAAATCAAAGGCCCTTGCAAATTTTGCTGAATTCAGATCTCTCAGGCTACACGTTCAGAAACAAATAACCAAAATGAGCTGCCACTTTGAAAAAGATGCTTGCTTTCCTCTGAGCAATAGTGGCTGCCCAGGGACAACCAACCAAGATGCCACGTCTGTCTATGTACAACAGCATTCTGCGTGTTTCATGCTCGCACCACCTTCCTACAACATCCCCACGGGTAAATCAAGCCATAATAAATGCTCTTTCCAGCTGATATGCCCAAGCTATAAATAGTGTTTTCCATCCAGTGGCAAACAAACACAGCATTAGCTGAAATTTTTGTGGAAGCATGTTTCCTGAAGAACTTGTCTGTCCCTCTGGTAGTGTGTTAGGTTTTGTTTGAATGCTGCCAGCTGTCCACTGGCAGTCCCAGTGTTGGAAATCGTATACCATAGCTAGCTTTTCTTCTATGCAATGCTTTGCCCTTTGCAAATACACATCTTCAAGACAGTTAGCGGTGTCTCTCTGAGGTCAAAGTTGAGTCAGTGAGTCAGCCCGTGATGGGGAGATGGGCAGTGGGTACAGTGGGAGTGGCCGTCTTTGCCAGCTGATAATGAGTTTTTACTAAATTAGTGTCTGGGAGACAGCACTGCCCAAGTTCTGAGCTACATCTTGGGCTACTGGGGGTCTGTCACGTCCACTGCTATGTTGTATTCTGGTCCTTTATATTCGGGTCCTCCTTATTCGGGCAGGAGCGGGTGGTGCAGCCGCTGCGTTTGAACAGGGCCGCTGTCAGAACAGGCAGAGCAACACCGCCCTCCACCGCTTTACCCCACGGCTGTGACGCCCCGGCGTAGGGGGTGACAGGGGCGAGGTGGCCCGGGGTGCCAGCTGCCGTGCTCAGGCCAACACTGACCTCCAGTGGAAAGCCCTGGGAAGCCACTCCCGGCCCCCGCCATGGGCGCAGGGAACGGGGGTGGAGGGTTTAGCGTGTACCAGCAGCATCCCGGCCTTTGCGGTCTGTCCTGTTCACGGCTGGACATCGTGGAGGTTTGGGGTACGGTCAGGACAAGAACGGGGTAAAGCTCGTTCAGGGAGAGTCGTTATTAAATATAGTGCAACCTCCAGGCTGGGAAATCCCTGAAACACCGAATACGGATGCTGGGAAGATTTCAGAGAGGAAGGATTTCCCTGGCTATACCCTCTTTCACCCTTTCCCTAAGCATCCACTGCCAGCCGTCGCTGGGGTTGTGTACAACACATACAGGGCTGGATGGTGCTGGCTGTCCCCCTACAGCTCTTCTCCCTAGAGTGAAAATAGGGAAACAAGTGGAAGCACAGTGAGAATCTGGGCCCTTGATCAAAAGTGAGGGGGAGTGATGAAGGAGCACTTGTCTGCAGCAGGCAGCCTCGCTGGCAGCCTGACTTTGTGTTTGAAATGTGCTATGCAGTGTGTGTAAGTGGCAGAGCTGGGAGCTGGCCTGACCCTTACAGCACTGGAGAAGCAAGGCCGCAGTTAGGCATCAAAGCAGCAGAGCCTGAGCATTAGCAGCATAACACCTACAAGCTCTTGGGAGAGCATCCAAGGTCCATTCATTTCATAATCTTTGTACTGGGGCTGCTGAAGTGGTTACACTGCAA